AATGCCTGACATCAGTCTCTGGCCTCCACACCTGCATGCACAACAAGCGCATGCGCGTGCGCGCACAGGATCAGGACATAGTGTAACCCAGACTGGCCTTGAATTTACCAAGGGTGACCTTGAACTCCTGATCCCCCCCCCCCAATCTCAACTCTCAAGTACTGAGATTACAAATGTGTAGCATTTTATTTGATTCTGGAGATCGAACTCAAGGCCTCGTGCACACTAGAGAAGCAACTCTACTAAGAGCAATATCGTCAGCCCTGAGCTGTGTGGGGTTTTTGTTGTTGTTGTTGTTGTTGTTGTTGTTTATGAGACAGGGGTTCTCTGTGTAGGTAGCTATAGAGTCTGTCCTGGAACTCGCTCTGTAGACCAGAACTCACAGAAAATCCACCTGCCTCTGCCTCCTAAGTGTGGGATTAAAGACTTGAGCTGCCACCACCCGGCATTTTGTTTTGTTTTTAAAGAAGGGTCTCACTATGTAGCTCTGGCTGACCTGCAGCTTGCTATGTAGACCAGGCTGGCGTTGAACTCACAGTTGCTGAAGATTTATTTTTTATTTTATGTGTGTGTGTGTGTGTGTGTTCACCTGTGCGTGGTGTACCTGAATGTATGTATGTGTACTACAAGTGTGAAGTACCTGCATAAGCTTGAAGAGGGTACTATATCCTCCGGAACTGAAGTTACAGGCTATTGTGAGCCACCATGGAATCCAAACCTGGGTCCTTTGCAAGAGCAGCAAGTGCTCTTAACTGTTGAGCCATCTGGAAGCCCCTGAATCTTAATTCTTAAGCAAAAACTTTTCTCTCTTCTCTTCTCTGTTTGTGTTGTTGTTGTTGTTTATCATTGTTTGAGACGGGGTCTTATATAGACCAGGCTGGCCCCAAATTCACTGTGTCCAAAACTGGCCTTGAATTCTCATCTTTCTGTCTGTACTTCCCAAGTGCTAGTATTATGACCCTGCTGGCTGTGCCTTTCAGGAATCCTTCTCATGAACGTGAAGCACACACGAAACTCTTCTGCATACAGCAGTGTGACGGCTCCCCTGAGGAAAGCAGACCGCTGTTAAGTGTGAATCATTTGGCATGATCACGTGTGAGTGTGTGTGCAATACCATGTTTACTTGAAAAATGACAGATAAACTCTCTTCTTAAACTGGGATATATGGCAGATCTGTTCTCAAAAAGGAACAATGGCTGTCACTTCAGAGAAAAATCTGACAGTATTTGTTACCAATTATACAGTAAAAATTTTAGTGAAAATTCTAATTTTGAATAACTTTTTTTCTGACACTGTGACCTCACAGCTTCTCCAAATTTAGAACATAGATGTAGGCTCTCTGATGAAATAAATCAAGATATTAAAGAATGTGATATTTTGATATAGTGTACTTATTGAGATGTGTCAACATTTGGGCATCTGTGTGGCTCAGTGAATCAATATTTTCTAAATGACCAATGAATGACACAACAAAATTATGTGTGAGTAAACAATTACCCAAAAGAAGGATAAATTCAAGGTGGACATGGTGGCACACAGCTTTGATCCCAGGCAGAGGAAGGGTGAGAGTTCCAGACCAGCCCAGTTTGCACAGCAAGTCAAGATTAGTCAGGCTGCATTGAGAGACTCGGTCTCCAAAAAAAAAAAGAAAAAGAAAAAAAGAAAGAAAGAAAAAAGTTCAAGGTCTACATGAGACCCTGTCAACCCCTCCCAGAAAAAAATTAATAAGTATAATAATTGCCATGCTACACTAGTCTGAGGGAGGGGATATGCTTTTTTATTCTAAATATTATTTATATTAACATGATGGTATATGACAGGGTGTGTGTGCGTGTGTGCATGCGTGTGTGTTTTGTTTGAGACAAGGTCTAACTGTAGTCCAGGTTGGCCTCGAACTGGATATGTAGCAGAGGATGACCTCCCATAGCCACCTGAGAGCTGGGTTAGTGGTGTAAGCCAACCTGATTGGCTCATGCTGCATCAAGGACTAAATCTAGGCTTGGTGCATGCCAGGTGAACACTGCCAGCTAAGCTATGCCTCCAGCCTTAACTTTCGTGATTTTTAATGAATTCCTAATTTTTAATTTTTTTTTTTTTTTACGTTTTCTGGGCTTGCATCCTTATACAGCAAGTGTTGAGTCTGAGAATACCTTCAACAAAAACTATTGGGGGATCTTCCATAATTTTTAAGTGCATAAGGGGTTCTAACAGAAAAACCATTTGAGGAGTTCTGCACCAGGCCATTCGTTTCTCTAAATTCACACCATATTAGCCTGTGTTTGAGTGCCTGGAAGCGTCTAAGCAAAAACCACACTGTGGAATGTTTATAAAGTACTGCTTAGTCTAAGCCTGGTACTGTTCAAGGCACTGCAGGACTCAGAACTGAGAACAATAGTCCTTGCTCTGGAGGACTCACAAGAGTTCAAACAGGTACAAGAATTTGTAGCGCGGAGACCAGGCTGAGAATCAAGCTTACACTGGAAAACAAACACCTAATAGATGAAAGGGGCCAGAAGGGGAGGTGGCCAGGGAAGGACTTCCCAGAAGAGCTGACACTTGATCTGAGCCTTAAAGGCCACTAGCAATCAATTTAGAGAAGGGTGTTTTAGGGAGAGGGAACAGAATGCATAAAATGTGGATGCTGTTAAGAAAGTATGGCTATTTCCAGCCTGGTCCATAGCTCGATATGAATGTAAGATGAAGCACCAGTCCGAGTACTGGGGTGGGGCTGGAAACTGAAGATGAGGTTAGCAAAGTAGGCAGGTGTGAGGGCCAGCCATGAAAATCTAAGTCTGGACAGAAAGGGAGTTCTTTACTTCCTCCAACCGTTATCACCTGGGACTCTAGCCATCGATGAATTTCAGTGGAGACTGGAGTCTCAGTTGTTTACCCTGAGATGACGCTGGGCTGCAGGAGAAACCACAGGCTGTCGCCAGAGCCCCCCCCCCCCCCCCCAAAGAACAGACCATTCGAAGGAACTTCCTGGCATTCCAAGCACTGTAGATAGAAACACCTGCCAGCGCAGTCACCAGGAAACCCTAGCCGAATGTCAGCCAATCAGGGCTCTTAAAACCTCAGAAACCCCTCACCCCCACCTTTACTACTATAAAATCCTATTCTAATTGAGCCCGGGGCTCTCTGGTTATTCCAATACATTGGACATGCGGAGAGACCAAGTTTGCAAACTTGATTAAAAATAAGGGTTCTTTACTTTTACATATGGGACTCGGTCTCTGTCTCCTTTGTTGGCTTTTGTGGGGATCCACGGATTTGGACATAACACAGGGACCCAAACAAAGGGTAGTTAGACCATATTAAGAAATGTGAGCGGCCCTTTTCTCTTAAATGTTGAAGGCACAAAAGGAATACGGAGGGGACACTAGAGGAGTTTTCTGTTCCACTAACTTAAAAAAAAAAAAAAAAGGCAGCAAAAGCCAGTAGGAGTTATAGGAAGAAACTAGAGAACCAGGAACAAGAAAGGCCACAACCGACCCAATATACCACTAGGAACTGGTCAAGAAAGCAAGCTCAGAGTCCATTTGGACTTCCAGGAGCGGTCAACTTCGTGTCAAGAAGATTCTCCAGGCTTTTGTGCAAAGGAAAGGGAGAAAGCAAAACCCTAGGGGTCTAGTATAGGCTTATTGGATGGATGAGGTATCTTTGTCCTTCACAAAATTTAGGGAACACACAGCAGTGTGCTGGAGTCGACGCCAAGGTCAGACCTGTATGCTCTAGTTAGAGTCTGGTTAGCAGACGGCGAAGCAGAGGAGGATCCACCCGTGCCCCTTTCACACCCGCCAGCCCTCTCTGTCCAAGATTCCCACGGTTGTCCTCATGTCGCCAGCAAATCCCAGGCCTCTGACCCCTCTGCACCCGCTGGTCCAGGCGAGGCGATGCCCACTCCCTCCCTGGGCGCCCTCCTCGCGGGCGCCGCTGCGCTCGCCCACTCCAAAGGGGAATGAGATCCCCGCTACGGTCGCCCAGCTCCGCCGAGGTTTGTAGAAGCCTCGGAGGAGGGGGGACATCTCACCGCCCTCTCCCAACGCCTGGCGTTTCCCCTCGGCTCTCTGTGGCCCGGCCCCGCCCCTCTACAGGGAAACATCCCAAAAAAGGGCAGAAAAGAAAATTCGGAGTCAAGTTGGCCCATTGGGGAAGACCGCGGAGTCCGCTGGGAGAAGTGGGGAGGAGGGCGGGCGCCTGGGAAAAAGAGAGAGGCGAAAGGGGGGGGGGGAGCAGACAGAACCCGAGGGGGCGGGAGCTCCGGGACCCGAGTGGGGGTGGGGAGAGCGCCCTGGCCAGCCGGGCTGCAGCCTCGTGGAAAATATGCGGGGCACGTGGGGGGGCGGGGCGGGAGGGAGCTGAGAACCTGGCTCTGGGCACTGAGACTGGGAGGGGACACTAGGTTAACAGATGCCAGGCCCGCCCTTAGGGGCAGCAGGCCTCCTGCCTCAGTTTCCCCAATTATTCGAAGAGACTTCGTCACCACCTCCACGTCGTTAGCGCAAACCTGGAGTCTGGAACCCGGGGTAAACTGAGGCACTCGGGGCGTGCAGGAGATCCGCCTCCCAAGAGACATTTAATCTGGGGGGATTTACAGGAAACTTCTAAATTAAGGGCAGCGGCTGCTGCTAGCCTGAGGGAGGGCACGCGGTCCCTGCGCCCGGGCAGCTGCCGTGAGCTCACGCCCTGAAATAGCCCCGGTGGCCCCAGACACAGCTGCCACTGGGCCCGGCTGTCACTCAGAGGAAGCGCTGAGCCCCCGGCCCAAGGGTCCTGTCCCCTCTGCTGACCAAGTTTTTACAGCCCTCAATTTTCCTTCCGACGGCTGGCCCGGGAAGAGGGGAGGCGGGGCCAGGACCTAAGGGGGCGGACCGGAGGGGTGGGCGCAAAGAGCGGCCGCGCCCCGCGACCGGGCAGTGCTTCTGCCCCTACAAGGTTTGGGCCTTGGTGGGGGAGGGTCCTGGTCCCCGGCTCCGCCCGGTCCCTCCCCGCTTTTTAGGCGCCCGCACTGCTGGGACATCCCAGTCCCTCTCGGTCCTCCTGACCTGTACCCCCACGTGCATCCACTCGCAGACAGCCCAGTCTACCCAGTCTTCACAGCCCGCCTGTCGGCCCACCCGCAACTGCAGCCATGGACGCCATCAAGAAAAAGATGCAGATGCTGAAACTGGACAAGGAGAATGCCATCGACCGCGCGGAACAGGCCGAAGCTGACAAAAAGCAAGCTGAGGACCGATGCAAGCAGGTGGGGTCCCGTGTAACCTCCCCTTGTCTGCTCTCCAAGGCCTTCCTTTCAATATGGGGGCTGGGTCTTCACAGGACCTTCCAGAGCTCAGCCCTAACTAAATCTTTTACCCTACTCCCAGGTGTCCCCAGTTCCCACTCCTGTCTTTTCAAAGCAGCAGGGGGTCCTTGCCTCTCCTCCCAGGGACCCCTAACCCTGCTAACTGTACTGTCTCTCCTCACCCAACAATCTCCAAGTATCTCCTAGAAACACCCTCCCTTAAACACACACACACACACACACACATCCTTCCCAGACCGCTGCCTTCCTTGCCTCCAGGGCCTGACCCAGGCCTGGCTAATCAAGTCTCCCTCTTCTACAGCTGGAGGAAGAGCAGCAGGCCCTCCAGAAGAAGCTGAAGGGGACAGAGGATGAGGTGGAAAAGTATTCTGAGTCTGTGAAGGATGCTCAGGAGAAACTGGAGCAGGCCGAGAAGAAGGCCACCGACGTGAGTGTGGCTGTGGGGATGTCTAAAAACACTAGGACACTGGCTAGGAGCCCCAGGCATGAGCGTGAAGGAAGAGAGGGACCTAGGTCTCTAGCACCAGAACAGACACGGTTTCCTCTCTGTAACGCCAGCTAGGAACAGGTTTACACAAGTAACTCAAGACACTGGGTAAATCAAAACCACCTACCACATCCCCTCAGGACTCAGCCTTGTAATTCCCTTGGGTTCCAGCCCTTAGACTGTACAGTGATGGACTGGGTGAGTCACTGAGGGTGGGAGGTGAGAATTTACCATCCCCCCGCCCTCTGAGTATGAAGAGGAGGAGACGGCAGCCACATTTGGGGTGTGTGAGGGTTGGGGTTGAATGTGAGGAGCTAGCGGGCAGGCGAGGGAGAAGGTTCCAGCGCTAAGGGGCCGCAGTTAGGAATTCCCCACCCGTGACCTCTGGCCCCAGCAGGGCTACTGCCCTGGAGCCTCAGCTCAGGTTCCAATGGCTCCTCATTTACCCTCGTTAAAGCTGTCAACCTCAGGCCCAGGCCAGGCCACAGGGCTGAGGGACAGGGCCACAACTGCCAAGGCAGCCACCTTGGCAGGCTCCACTTACCCTGAGGTTTCTCTACTTCCTGCCGCTCCCCACTCGTGTCCTCAGGCAGGGTGATCACAGGACTGTAGATGAGGCACCTCCACCATTCCCTGCCTCAGTTTCTGGTTTGGGATTTAAGATGAGTCGTAAGTAGGCCTGGGGGGTGAGAAACACAAGCCTGGTGTGAACACCCGAGATGGCACTGGGGCTGTTTTCTGTTTCCCCACCTCCCCCATAGCTGGGTTCCTTTGACCTCTAGTCTCCAGGTTGGGTTCTCTACCAGTGCTGGCACTTGGGAGGGAACTGACCAACAGCTGCTAGCAAAGTTGACCCTGGGCATCTGGTACTCTATAAATAACCAAGGCCCAGTGCAGCTGGAGGCAAGACTGGAAACCCAAGGAGCTTGGTGGGGGCCACGGGGGCAGGGACAGTTGGGGAAGCAGGCAGCCCTGCCAGCATAAATAGGAAATGCAGCCCAATTTTATAGTGTTACCTTGAACACAGCAGTTAACTTACACAGTGCCTCAGTTTCTCTTCTCTGTTTGCAGTTCAGCCAGTGGGGACTATGGTGGTGACTATTCTGTAGTGGGAGAAGAGCCAGCAGCCACAGCTTAGGAGAGCAGACATGACAGATCTCAGTCTTGGATGACCCCAGGACTTCTGAAGCTTGTCAGGGCCGTATTATACAGGCCCATAGGCAGTCACTGTTACCCTACACCATCATCTCTCTAGCGTAACCCTCAGTGTCCCCCAGAGTCAGTCTCCCCTGTGCTGTCTCTAGTGTTTCCACATTGAGTCACTGGGCCCTGTGCCCACGATGGACTCTTGTTGTAGGTGGCCAAACTCCGGGTACTGAAGGCACCTGGAGGACAAGCCATAAGCCGCTTTCTATATATGGTGAAGTTTCCCAGGGCCTCCCTCTGTGCCAGCCTCGCCCCTTGCCATGTTCTTCCTCCCTCACTCCCTCCTTCCCCAGCTCTTCCCCTTCACCCCCTTCCCAGCTCTTCCCCCCTCACTCCCTCCTTCCCCAGCTCTTCCCCTTCCCTAGCCCTTCCCAGCTCTTCCCCCCTCACTCCCTCCTTCCCCAGCTCTTCCCCTTCCCCAGCCCTTCCCCAGCTCTTCCCCAGCCCTTCCTCAGCTCTTCCCCTTCCCCAGCCCTTCCC